CTCCACCTCTCTGCGCTCAATAAGGGCCCCACATATATTCCCTACGATGTATCACCATCTGTGTGCAGTGCCACCACCTGCGCTGGGCACCTGGGAAAACAACCTGTTGGAGTGTGACACTTCCCTCTGGCTCTTGTGTCTGATTTTCTGAGGAGAAGTGAAGGGGCACTCCAAGTATGCACCTTTAGAGCATGTCTGAAATACGTGAGCTGAACTGGTTGGGAGGGCAGGAGGTGGTGGCAGAGCTGGAAGGCTGCAGGGGGGCAAGGAGAAGATCTAAGGAGCTGTACCAAAGCAAAGTCAGTGCATGGGCAGCGTATGGACTTGCTCAAGAATAATTCCCTGTATTTGCACAGTGTTGTGAAGAGCCAACCTCATCTTCTGGTGCTTGGAAGAACCAGTTGTGCCTGCTGAAGCTCTTATTGGTCCTTTAAGGAGCTTGGACTTCTTCCTCTGTATGACATTCCTGTGAGCTTTCCACGGAAATGTTTTTTTTAAAAAAAGGGGGGACGACGACAGGAAATTGTGATGTGCTTAACTGTTAATACAGGCACAGACCCACAGACCCATTCTCCTTCTGCTACTGTATTTGTTGAACATTTTTGACATGTATAATCAGACAAAACTTGGAATCTTCCAGGCTCCCTCCGCAAAAACAAAACAAAACAAAAAAAAAAACCCAATAAAACAGAGGAGAGGGGAAGCATTCTTCCTTATCTACCCTATCCCACCCTTCTCAGAAATCCCTTTTCGGAGCCCACTTTGGCAGTTGGGGATGACCAAGACATGCTTTTCTTTCCACAGATGGTGGGGAGAGAGGAGACACATCCCTCTCTCCCTGGGACGGTCTGACCCTTTGGTGCTCCCAGCCCCCAGCCTCCTGGCTTTGGCCATGCTGCAAACAGTGCCTTGAGTTTTAAAAGATGCTACAGGAATACCAAGTCTGTCCAGTCTGCAGAAATGCAAGTTTGTCCTCCATATAAATAGGAGTGAAAACACCTGTGCCTTTAACTGCTGTCACAAATTCTTCAGGCACAATGCAATAATATACCTCTTTAGAACTTCAGTTTTGCAATGTTCAGCAGCATCCAGATCCTTTGTGTGCACCTGCCAGCAACCCTCGAGTCCAACGAGTGCCCCAAGGTATCAGCAGACCAGCGCAGGATTTGCTCCAAGAGTCCCTTTTCCCCCTGAACATGCCAAAAAGATGACCCTGCCCATATAATAACCTAACAGCAGACACAAGGAGACCTGAGCAGACCCTCTTGGCATCCACTCTTGTTTGCTCCTTGCTGACCACAGGCCCGAGGTGAATTATTTCTCCCACTCCGAGTTGTTTGACTTCAATTTCATGCAGGGACCTTACATATATCACATCCCCTGTCGCCAATGAATCTCTCCTGTTCAAACAGTTCCAGTTGCCCTGAGATCAATATATTTTAGCAGCACACAAGGACACCGTGTTATTGCCAATTTCCTGGGCTGTACAAAACAAAAGGTATCACTTTCTTAAAGCCATTGAAAAATGCTCTGGCCCAACTAAGATTACTTCTCTGCCATTAAATGGTTGCATTTAGGACTCATCCTGATCACTGTCTGTTCTGTCTTGTGATGACATTTTCTGCCAGTCTTCAAGGACAGGAGATGCCAACTCAGGAACCGTTCCCACCCTCCTGTGGTCTAATGTCAGTAGTGTAGTCTGATTTCTCCCAGTTGTCCTCATTGTTGACAAATGAGAATATGAGGTGTCTTACAAATAGGTACGTGCAATTCAAATGCCAAGAAATCCCCTTCCTGCTCATTGGGAAATAAACCAAATGAGCACCAATGGGTGCCTTGGTTGAGCTGGGATTAGGTGACTTTTCCCACCTCTGTCTGCAAGGTCTGGCCTGGCTCCAGCTTTCCTGTTCTTTCCTTCGTTCCTTGAGACCCTTGGAAACGTGTAGGTGGCCACCCAGATCTGCCATCCAGACCCAGAGTGCCACTGGGGGCTTTGCAGATGGGCATCCCCTGGACATCCATGGATTCAGATGGAACCCAGAAGCTTCCTATGATGCTGGGGTGGAAGCTTGTGCTCCTCCCAGCCCTTCTCTCTCCATCTCTGCCTTCTCTGGTGCAGGTCCAGCCATGCCCTCCTCGTCCTCCTGCCGCTCAGGCCCTGTTGTCAGGCAATGCCATGGGCTGGAGTTTGGGGTGGAGGCAGCTATTGTTCCAGCTATCTGCAGTGTAATGTTCCTTATGACTGTATTAAATGAAGGGCGGAGGTCACACATCCCCAGTTTAAATTAGGTTTGGGCTGACCTTTAACAATATTACACTCGTGGATCCTCTCATAACTCACGGCATAAACTCCCTGAGGGTTTTACCACCTCCCTCTCTCCTTCCTACTGTAAGGATGCCCGAGGCTTAATGCGCTTCTCTCCTATTTCGCTTTGATTTCTAATCCCATCCCCTTCTCCCCCTTCGCCCCCCTAAATACAGATATATTCACTCCTTTAAAGGTGGGGGAAAGAACCTGTTCCTTTTCTCTTCTGGGCGACAGCTCTTTCTTTTGTGTCTCTTTCTTCCCTTCCCCGCCCCCCTCCTCTTTCTTGACACAATGCACTATTTATTTGCACTGAAGGATAACTAAGAAGCAATTAAAAGATCAAAAGGCACAAGCCCAAGTAGACCCAACTCGGCAACTTGTGGGGTGCATTTTGCTGCTGCCGCCGAAGCTGCACCGAAAGGCTGCCTTGTTTGTCCCCCCAGTCAGAGGGACACCTCTCCTATTGGGTCGCCTCTTCCTCAGAGCGGACTTTTATGATCGCTATTTTTCACCCCCATTGTTTGCTATTGCAGTTGTTTACTGGAAAATCACTTGTTTTTCTCAGGGAGATTAACCCCCTCCAAGCTTTCTTTTGTCTCCTTTCAGGAGGTCCTTGCGCTGGGCTGGGGGAAGGGTAGGGAAGGGAGCCGACTCCTTCAGCTATTAACAGGGGCTTACAGCCCCCTGCCAAGGCTGAGTCCTTCCCTTTGATGGGGTTTTGCTTGCAGTAGGGAGAGGTGCTTGATCTTCCTCAAGGAGATGAATAGAAAGCGAAGATCCATGGTACGGATGTTCTAAGTTCTGGGCATCTCAGAGAAACTCCTACAGCCAAAGGTGGGCATCAGTGGAGATGCCTCTTTGCGGAGAAGATGCCAGTGGGACTTCTCAAGAGCCCGTTCTCTTTGACAGCCAGATCAATTCTTCTCATTAGGAGCTGAGATCTAATGCCCACACTGGAGCATGCTGAGGACACAAGTGCTTTCCCAGCATCACACTCCTCTCCTAGGCATGCTGGCTGCTCACCACCCAACACCAGGGAGTCTGCTGAGCACAATGCACAGTGACACAACCCAGAGGACAGCCTGCAGACGAGAAGGATGCTGGGCAGGGGAGGACCTCCAAAGCTCAACAGGAAGGGACCAGTCCTGCTCAAGCCTCACATTTTCCTCGGCATGTTTATGGCAATTCCAGCTGTTCAGAGAGGCGCCGAGTTCTCTATTCTCGAAAGAAGAAAAAAAAAAAAAAAAAAAAAAAACCAAAAAAACTACAAACGTGAACATTTTGTTTTAAAAAAAGAGTTCCCTCAGTACACGTCATTGAGATTTGCTGAGCCCTCACCCCTTCGTGCCACTGCCTACCATGAGCACCACCTGCGATGTGCAGCCCGAGGCGCAACGCTGGCAGCTCTGCCCCTGCCTGCTGTGGGTGGGTGCATGCTTTGCACTGCAACTTGAGCTGCGCATCCCTGCGAGCTGACAGCCACCCGTGCTGCGCCTACCCGAGCGAGCGCTCCGGGACTTTGCTGCTGGTGGAAAGCAAGTGGGTTCCCTTGCAGCTCACCTCTGGGGCAGCCACTTCTCAGCGGGGCGGCTTTTTTGGGAGGTGAACTGCGCACAGTGCAGCCCGGTGTGATCACTGCGCAGCTCCGGTGGTGGAGCGGCGGTTGCAACGGTGGCGAATTCGGATCACATGCTGCTTCATGGCAAAGCCTGGGAAAAGTCCTTTTGGCTTCAAAGCAATTGCACAAGCTGGCAGCCCAGAGAGCAGACACTAGAGGTGCCGTGGGGTGCCAAATCCAATTGTACCCACGCAGCATGGGCATCCATGCTGTCCCTGGAGATGTGTGCAGGCAATGTGGGGCTTGCATCTGCCAACACAGGGGTGTGTAACACGGGGCAGGGCGCCGGTGTGAACCTGGGGGGGCCGTGCTCCTGCACCCCTGCGTGCCTGCAACTACCATGCAGATGCTGCGAGGCCAGCACAGAGCAGGACGGATGGCACAGCCACCTGTGCCCTGCGCACAGTCAGAGCGGGACCAAAAAGCAGGGCTGGCACGGCCAGATTCCGCTGCTTCCGATCACCCCACAGTAGTTTCAGTTCCCTGGAGGGCAGGGAGAGACGGCCCAGCACCGCGGGCAGGGGCTGGGGACGGAACTCCCCAGCCGCCCGCCTTCACCTGGGGGGGGAGGGAGGCGGAGGATGCGCGGCCCCCAGCCCACCCAGCGGCCGGCAGGGGTGGGCTGCAACCCCCTCCCGGGCGGGGAAAGCCTGCGGCTTGAAACTTCCCGTCGCTCCCCGAGCTGGACTTCGCAGGGTTACGAAGAAGGGAGGGAGAAAGAGGGAGGGATCGCTCTGCAACATTATTGGCTGCGTGGCCGGGCTGGTGCTCGCTGGGGAAGTCAGAGCATGCCCATTGGGGGGGTATAAAAGGGGGGCAGCTAGAGCGCCTTGCCCGTCTCCTCGCTCGTGGGGCAGCCAGCCGGGAGCAGCGGGCAGCAGGCAGCCGGCCCCTCCGCCCCAGCCAGGGGACGCAGTCAGTAAACACCACAACAACCAAAAAGTGAGAGCCACCCAAGGGGCAGTCAAGGCAGGAGGAGAGAAAGAGGAGGAAAAAAAGGAAAAGGGGTTAAACCAGGAGGAAAAAAAAAAAAAAAAAGCGAGAGAAAAAAAAAAAGAAAAAGGGAAAAAAAAGGGAGGATAAAAAAAGAAGGAAAAGGAGAAAGAAAGAAAAGGAGAAAGAAAGAAAAGGAGAAAGAAAAGGAAAGCGCTCGCCTGCTCTCTAGAATAACAAAATACCTGATCGTAACAAAATAACATCCTCCAGACCAAATCAAGCAGGGACTTGACATACCAAAAGGCAAAGCGAGGAGAGCGAGCCAGGGCGCGGGGAAGGCGAGCCAGAGCCGCGATCGCTGCCAGGGCCGGACAGCAGCATGGCAAGCGCCGGGGCACACACGGATGAGCGCTGCCGGCAGCCTGCCTTCCTCCCCGGCCCGCCGCCGACAGAAGTTGAGAGCGGCAGCGGCAGCGCCAAGGTAAGCGCCACGCCGAGCCGTGCCGAGCCGCGCCGGGCAGCGCCGCGCCGAACCGGGCAGCGCCGCGCGGTGCCGGTGCCGCGATGCCGGTGCCGTGCCATGCCGAGCCGATCCGAGCCGCGCCGGCTCCGCCGTCCCTACGCGTGTCGCTAGAGGGACCCCGAGAGCCGGCCCGCGCCGCGCTGCCCGCCGCCGACTCGCGAGCCGCGCCGCGGGGGTGCGGGGCGGCCCGGGGGGGTGCCCCTGCCCGCGTCCTCCCCGACGCTTCGGTTGTTTTGAACGCGGGTCCGCGGACGCCGCGCACCTGGCGGGGGGACGATGGCGGCGGGAGCGCTGCGCGTCCTTTGCGCGCCCCTTTGCGCGCGGGGGGCGGCGCGGGGCGGTCCCGCGTGGGGGGCGGCCGGCAGCAGCGCGCGTGTGCGGGCAGCCGCGATCGTGCGTGGGCCGGGCTGGCCGCGGGGCCGGGGCTATGCGAGGTCGCGGCGCTGCGCGGCCCCCCGGCGCTGCGCGGCGCGATTTTGGAAGCGGGGAGACGGGGCGGCGCGGCGCGGGGAAGGGACGGGCCGTTCCGCGGCTCCGAGAGCGGGGGGGATCGTTAAACTCTTCCGAAAAACAGCGCGGCGCGTTCGGTCTCGGAGGGATAAAAATACGGAGAGCAAAAACAAGAGAGCGAAGCCAAAATGGAGTGAGAGTTAATGGTTGGCATGGAGCCCTCGACTTTGTGTGATTTTTTTATTATTATTTTTTTTTCTTTCCTCCCAATTGCTTTTCCCTACAGTAATTGTTTTAAGAGAGCAACTTGGAAGGGTTTTAGCACTCCGCTGAGCAGCGGGGAATTGGGGCACATGAGGAAACAGAGATTCCGCACAACCGTACCAGCAGATGTGGCCACGGTGTGCTGTGACAGTCAGGTCGGGGCTGGCACCTGGAGAGCAGCGCTGCTTTCCACCCTCCCATGGGAAACCCGCAATCTCTCCCTGATGCTGGGCTGAGCTTGGGAGGCCCAGGCCTGGCTTTCTTTGTTTTTATTTGTTGTCAGGTTGCGTGTGCGGGTGTGCGTGTGCGGTTTCTTCTTTCGCTCCGCAGGGCTCAGCGTGTTGGGTTGGTTCCTCCTCCTCCTGGCGTGATTTACAGCAGAGCTGAGGAGCCTGGGTCATGGGTTTTGTAGGGGTGACTTTGTGCTAAGGACATCTGGAGGAATAAAACTGAGTGACACTTCTGATTTGAGCTCTGCTGAACTGTTTTGGACCCAACTTGACAATTTCGGTGGGGGTGAATGGGTCAGAGCTGTAAATCTCGCTTGGCGGTGTCGACACCCACACAAGTTCACTCAGCCTTTCAAAGGGGCTATCCCGGCTCCTGTGAAAATTCATTAAGGGATAAAAGATTTGACACCGTGGGTCCCTCCCACCGCCGCATGAAATTGGAGAGCCCGAAGGCGGCTGCGTGTGTGTCCCGGGGCCCTTTCTGACAGGTGATCCTTTTTGCAGCCTGCCCGCAGGGCTGCCGCTTTGACCGAGAGGCTCGGAGGTGTCGGTGCATGGCTTTCCATTGATTTCTATAGGCTTTGGAGCTGGCCTTGCAAGGAAAAGCACTTCTGTACATCTTTTCTTGTTTTAAATAAAGCAAACGCAGCAGGTGAGGTCTTATTTTTAGAGGGACCGAGGCGCTGGTGCGGATCCAGAATCGCATACGAGCGCTGGAAGTGGCCCACCCTATCCCGCCCATGTCCTGGGGCTGACCTCCCGCTCCTCTCTGGCTTGGCTCTGCTTTTTGAGGCTGCTGGGGCTGTCGGGGCAGGGAGATGGAGAATGAGGGGATCGGGAGGGATGGGGGAAGAAATCCGTGTGGGGGCCACATTGTGACTCCGAAAGGGTTAAGCTGCCTGTGCCAAGACATAAAGCAAGTTCAACGTGTTGTGGGAATATCAGTTGCCAGTAAACTCCAGTCACCACAATTTCTGATTTAACAGCTTAACTTGCTGTTAACTTTCCCTGATACGCTCCAGGTTTTTGACGTGGAGGCAGAAAGGAGAGGGGAACAATAAAGAAAGAAGTTAAGTGAGGCTACTAAAATGGACTTAAATCCCTTCCCTGGGTCCTGCCAGCTGTCTATAGAAGAGTTAAGCAAGATTGCATTTCCTTTTTTTCATGCCATAAATCAAACGTTTCTGGGCCGCCTACCAAAATTTGTGCAATACTCCCCAGTGGGGTGAGTAAATGGTACTGAATACCCCATTCACCTTTCGGAGCCTGGTTTTTCCGCAGCTCTGGCAGTGCTGGCTATGGGGCGCAGGCATGGAAAGGTGACCCCTGGCACGGGGCTGCTGATGGGGACAAGTCGTGAAGACAAAAAAGCAAGGGCTAAAAATAGAGGCGGCATTGCCAACCTCAGCCATATAAGTGTCATACGAGCCAGGTGCCAAGAATGGTGAGTTGTGTGGGTTTTTTTTATTTTTTCAATCCCAGTGATTAGAGCTGAGCAGCAGCACCCTTCAGCTTGGGTGAGTTTTATTTGCCTCAGCGGTCAAAAGTTTTGCCTCCTTCGAGCTGGGTTTATACCCTTTCTTTTTTAGAAAGAAGCTATTCCAGGCTGGAGCCTCCAGGATAAGGATTTGGGAAACACCAGGTACAACGTGGCCGAGGCAGCAAGAGGGATGTGGGATGCTCCAGAACGAGGCACAGCACACAGGCTCCTCTCCCTTGGGTACCATGGGCAGCTCCTCCACCCCAGCTGCTTTCTGGCTGCCAAGGCACCTTTCTCTCTGTGCTGGCCTTTGCTTTTTGGCTCTTGAGTGCATCACCATGCCCATGGGCAGAGCTGGGGGCCCTGGTGTGACGTGGTGATAGTAGGCGTGCCCCCACTTCCTGCCCTCAGAGAGCTGTGCCCCAATCCAGGTCAGTGCCCTGCTCCCTGAGGGACATCTGCACACTGCATCACACCCCCTCTCCACTCTCAGCAGCAATATGCTCCATCTCATATCTGTAGGCAAAACCTTATGGCCCTGTGCACACATTTCAGTATGCAAGGGATGCCATGTCTCCAGCTGCATGCTGGGATAGAGACGCTGTGACTGCAGGCATTGCTTCTTGCACAAGCATTGGGCATCTTCTACAGTAGAAAGATGTCCAATCTGCCCGCTTTTTTGGAAGGGCAGTGGAGGATGTGATGCAAAAAGTTGCTTTTTCCCCCTCCCTACAGGCACTGTTGGGTTTGAACTGAAAAGTTTTTTGCCATTTTAGATGCTCCACAAAGAGCAAGATTTTTTATTTTTTATTTTTACTGTCCAAATCCAAATTTTGCAGACTGGGCCATCTGTCAGTTCCCTCCTACGTTGTTCTGTTCATATTAAATTGTAATGAAGGCCAGACTGAAGAAGGAATTAGGTCAGACAGGAGGTTCAGTATCCATTTTTTGGGAGATGTTGCCCAAGAGAGAGGCACCATGGTTAGGTTGGCTCAGCACAAGCCTGAATGTGACAAACGCCTGAGCCTTCCTCTGAGATTTGGCAACTGGGCCTTTTGAGCATGCTGTGGCCTCTTGGCTTCTGACTCCCCGGCAGCTGGACCACAATCATCTCTCCAGCTGATCGTGCAGCAAATCCTCAGCAAATCCTTCAGGCCGCCTCAGGCCAGAGGGCAGCAATGCTGCAGACCTGCTTCGGGCTCACTCTCATCACACTGGTGCTGCTCCAAGGGGACCCTCTCCATAGCTGTGCCATTACCTGTGTGTGATCTGTCTGTCACAGGGCTGCAGAGAGGTGCTCAGGTTTCCCCAAACACAAAGAGCACTGTGCAGCATGGGCGCATCACTGCATGCCCATGTCAGTTTCCTGGTCCCATATTTGCCACTGTGGACAAAGGGAGAAGCAGGAGCCTCCTTGTTTGCTATCCTGGTTGAAACTGTGTGCAGCAATGCATGACCTCCCTCTGTGTACTTACTGAGGGATGGCAGTCAATACAACTGATTCAACTGCATTTTGCAATAATGAAACTTGGATGGATGTAGCATCTCTTCTAGTGTTGTGGGGACCAACACCAACATCACATCGTCTCTGTTACCCATTGCACGAGAGACCCTTTGCAATAAATACGAAGGCTCAAATGGCTTTGACTCCTGATGCTGGACAGAGCTTAAGCCACAGCCATGGAAGATGTATGCACATGCAAGGCTCAGAGGGCTTCATATTCCTGCCCCAAGGGGGCTGTGGAGGCACAGCACTGAGTACCCAATAGTTGAATTGAGAAGGAAGGGCTTATGCTGGGTCTCCTTCAGTGTGGTGTCAGCACTGGGACCATTGCTATCCTCATGGCTTCTTCCCACATAGATAGCAAGAGGAAGACTTCTTGGTTGGTATTTAAGGCTTGGGCAACCAGTAACAGCTGGAGGCAGGCAAGGCTTGCACCTGCAGCACAAGTTTTGCAGTAGTTGTTGTTTTGCAAAGGAGCAGAACCAGGTCTCCCTGGCATCAGATATCACCCTGCTGACAAAAGACTGAGCTTGGGGGTGTTGAGGCCAAAGCAGTCCTGTTGCAGATGATGCACCCCAACGGATCTTCACCATAGCAGGGGCATTGATGGAGTAGGGGAGGAGATGAGGTGCTGGAGGCACATGCTCACAGTGACTAGCTAGGGGGCAGAAAGCAGTTTAGGCATCCTGATATCCCACTTGGGCATCGCGTGCACGTGAAAATCAAGGGGAAAAAAAAGAGAAAGAAAAAAGAACAAAAACAGCATGGGATAATCACAGGCTTTTTGGGAGGGGATTGCATTGCTGATGCTGCCACGACTAAAGCAGTGCAGGTGGTGCTGTGATGACCATCTCCACTATTTTGGAGAGCTTATGGCTTGGGACCATGGCTTCTTTCTGACACTACTGGAGCTCTGTGCACATAATGGTTGGTGGCAAGGGTGGCTTTATTGCTGGTGGGGCCACAGCAGGGCCCTGGGAGAGGTGGGCTAATTTCCTGGCTGTGCTGCAGACTTCCCCTGTGACCTTGGGTGAGTCATTTAATCTATCCCGGGCTTCAGCTCCATCTCTGAGCATCCCGTGGGGGTGAGGTAATATTCATTAACTGATATTATTCTCGAGTTGCTCCGATGCTATGGTGATGAAAATGGGAGGTGAAACCCAGTGCCTTGGCTGAGCATCAGCAGCGAGAGGGGATGCTCTGCTTGAGTTTTAGCAGCCAGTTTGGGCGAATGCAGTTCTGATACAATTCCCCTCTCAATTTTTTGCTGTCCTCTTGGCCACCATGGTTATTTGGCTGCATTAATGCAGTGATGCTCATCACTGAGGGACAGAATGTGGATATTTCATCATGCAGTGCTGTGGTGGCATCGTCATGCTGATACCCCCATGAACCACTCTGCTTCTATGGTGTGTCTTTCTGGTTCTAGTCCTCACCAGCAAACATAGCTTGTGCAATCAGCCCCTTGATTGCCTGAGCAGCATCTTCTGGGTGCACAGGGAGAAGGCTACTATTCTCCCAGTAAAAGCCAGCTTTCTCCAAAAAACAGGCAGAAAGTTCATCCATTTTGGCTTTGGGGAAGCACATGCTCAGGTAGGACATGACAGTCTTCCATCTAACATGCTGCTTCTTTCCCCAGGTGCAGAGGATGTGTGCAGCTAGGCAGATGCTGCTGCTACTGCTGGCCTTCCTGGCCTATGCATTGGATTCAGCTGCGGCGTATGGCACGGCAGAGACCCTCTGTGGTGGGGAGCTGGTGGACACGCTGCAGTTCGTCTGCGGGGACAGGGGCTTCTACTTCAGTAAGTTCTACTTGCTTACATGATGCTCAGTGCCCACCTTGTGCTATGCCAAGATGATGCAGATGGAGCTGGGTTGGGATGGGAAGGATGGATTCTCCACCCCAGTGCTTTTTAAGGTGGCGTTGTGCATGGTGAGAAGAGGAGCAAGATGAGTGATGAGCCGAGGGATGGTCCAATGGGGAAGCTGGGTCCTATGGTCCATGCTCAGATGTGGCTGGGCAGCGCTGATAAGTAGTTGATTCGCTGTTGATGTGGATAAGTCTTCAAAATAATGAGGATTTCTGCTGAGCTGGAATTCCAGCTTGTTTTTAAACCCAGATAGGCTCTGCTTGGATATAACCACAGGTTCTGAGCCCTCCCAGGCGGCCTCCTGGCTACTTGCTAATGACACCAATGTCTGACCTTCTAAACAGCATAGCCAGTGCCAAAAACCGCAGTGTCGCTGTTGTCCACAGAGTTCAGGGATCTGCAGAGGTGTTGTATGGAACATGTTTTCCTTGAGTGTTTTTAAGATTTGGACCATACGTGCAAAAACACAAGAGCTCAACTAGTAGATGAGGAGGAGTAAGGTGATGGATGTTCGGTAATACGTGAGCAGATGAGAGTGCTTTAGGTGTGATGCCTTCTGGTGGTATAGTATTCTCCTTGCACAGGAGAGGCAAGAACCTGTGTCCTGCAACCCACTGCTGACTGAACTCTGTAATATACTACAGGAAGTACACAAGGCATAGCAGTAGGGAAAACAATGCAGGTAGCGCAGCTGCACCTAGCATCCTCGCCTCTGCTTTGGAGAAACTTGCATTACAGTGATACACTCTTGAGTAATGTATTGAGCTGTTTTTTTTTTTTTTTTTTTTTTTTTTTTTTTTTAATAGCAGTCCCAAGAGCCATCCTCCCTCTATTCCCAATCTAGCATTTACAGGGAGTGAGCTGCTGCAAGCTTTGGAGAAGACCCTTGCAATGCAATGGAAAGTGCAGCAGTAACAGCAGAATAGCAAGGTCCCAGGCTACAGCAAGTGAGAACTTGCTCAAATGTAACAACCATAGGCACTGAAATAAAAGAATCTGCTTACCTTCATAGGGCCTCAAGCAGACAGGAATCTTCAGCAAGATCCCCTTCCTCCACTCCAACTCTTAAATAAGGTCTGGGATTAGGGTGCATTGCGTGCACCTGAGCTCCCCTGGATTAGCCCTGCCTTCCCACCAGGTGCTCAATCACTGGTTCAAGGCATGACTTTGCATTTCTACTACAAACCTATACCCAGCCAGGCTGGGCTGCAGTTGGCTGAGAGTTACTCCATCCATAGATTGTGGAGGGTGCACAGGGTGTAGGGGTCAGGCTGTATGGTCCAGCTACCATCAGGCTTCAGTCTGCGTTACTTCACAAGTGTGGTGGCATTGCAGGTGGCTTTTCTTCTAGCCAGGCCCTGCGGGTGATGGCTTTGTTCTGCTGATGTAATGTTTTTGGGAGCACTGTTCCTTTCTCTCTGAGCCCAGCTAGGGGTTTCCACCATAACTGCCCTTCTCTTCTCATCTCCCCCTTTTCTCCTACCACTGAGCCACACTGGGGTGAGGGGACTGGGTTTTGCCTTCCATATCTGTGGCAAGCACCCATCCCAGTCTCACACCTCTTTCTCTCTCTGTAGAGGAGCATCCACCTCCCTCCGCTTGCTTCTCTTCTTTCCTCCCCCTCTCTGGGGATGAAAGGGAATGGGGCTTTTGTTTTACAGGCAAACTGACCTCCTTTCACCTCGAATAACCCATCCTCTCAGTCCAAAATAAAAACACTTTTGAAGGCAGAAATGTAGCTTTGTGCCAAGTGACCAGTCTGGTGCTCAAAAGGGGATTCTTGCTCTTCTTTTTTCACCTGTCTCCTTCCTTCTTGTTGAATGTTTCTGGAGAGTTCAACCACTGGGGGATGAAGGAAAACCTACCAGTCCCATATTTCCATCTCTTCAGCACCTGTTGAGGTTGCAGTGAATGTACATTTGTCACTGGTTCTATTCGATGAAGGTCTTGGTCATCCCCAGTTCCCCTCTTTCTTCCCTCTAGCTCCATCAGTTGTTCCAGTGAAGGCATTAGTTCTTCTGCCCATATTAATCTTCACTCTTGACTTCTTGTGGCAAATGTTATTTCCACTGCACAGACTCTTATCTCTGGGGGTCCCTTCCAACCCCTACAATTCTATGATTCTGTAGGGCATGTTTATGTTTCACAGTCCTGGTTTATGTCTTTAACACTGAGGCTGGGATTGTCCTGACCAATTGTCCATCTGCTACTGGCATGACAGCTGCAACCTGAGGACAAACCTGTGCCAGCGGTGTGTTTCATACCTGAGGTAGATGACTTTGGTGGCCTTGTCTCACAAGTACAGGTGGCTCTGCATGCTGGAATGGGCTGCCTGGTAATCCCGAGAAAAAATGGAAATGGCATGAAAATCTGCCACTGGTTTTCTGCTGCTGCAGTAATTTAAGCTAAGGTGTAGCTTCTCTATTCCAAGATGCAGCAGTTTGCATCTGGATGCAGTGTGTCTGCAGTGTTTCACACCCCTGGTGTTCCAGGGTGGGGAAATACACAGTTCAGGTTGAGGAGGGTGCACCCTGATGATGGAGATGCCTGTCCGTCCATTGACACAGAGCATGAACCCAGCTACCAGGTTCCCTTGGAAATACCATGAGAGCTGATGCTTGGGGCTCGGGATGTTGAAGCTGCCTACAAAATCCTATAATGGGGGCGTTTCAGCACCACTGGCATCCCACTGTAGGGCTTTTACTACTTAGGCCTCCTTTAAGTCTTGAGGCAGCTGTTTTACACGACTTGTTTGTGAAAGAGACAACAATTTGCATGGCACACCGTTGGGGATGAGTGCTGCTGGTCCCACGGCAAGCCCTTGCCACATCCCCGGTTGCACCTGAGACCCGCAGCAGTGATATCACCAAGCACTGGGGCTGCAAAAGAACAGCTCCAAGGAGGCTCAAGCCCCCAGCTGCAGGCACTGCGTTGCTCTCCCTTTTCTGCAGCAATCTCCATGGATGACTCAAGGCTTGCAGGTGCCGGCAAGGTGATGCCGTCCTATGGCACGGCCATGGGGATGGATGCTGAGCATGGAAAAAAAGAAATAGGAAAAAAAAAAAAAAAAGGGCAAGAGGAAGTCCCAGCGGCAAATTTGTTGTCATGCACCATCGGCAGGGAAGGGAGAAGGGGCTGCGGGGGGAGAGGCGTCCGACTTCTCTGTAAACAACAGCTCCTGTTTCCTCCTTTCCAACAGCTGATAAGAATTTAGCTCTTTGCGGCCGCTTGTGCTGACGGGGCACATTCTTGCGTGCCGCCGCTCCTGCGAATAATACTAGGAAAAAGCAGGGGGGAAAGCGCAGTGCCGGGGCTAGGGGAGGGACAGGCTGGGGGCACTGGGACGGGGACGGCACTGCACAAAGGCCCCCTTGTTGCTCCTGACATTCCTGCGCCGGGGGTGTGGGGACTGTTTGCACCCAAAGTCCCCTTCCACTCGGCTTGCCGCCTGACGGACCGGAGGAGAGGGGAGCCGAAGGTGGGGACATGCCTCGGTGCCACAATCCAGGGAAGGGACCCTCCCATCCCTCTGGGTGCCCCCACCCCTGGGGTGTCCCAGGAGCACTGCTGGGATGCTCAGCAAGTCCCGTCAGGATGCTTGACCACCACTATTGGAGCGCTCACCAGTTCCCACCAGGATGCTCGGTGCATCCATCAGGACAGCGTGATGCCAAAGGGCACCAGCAGGCAGAGGTTTTTGGTGGAGCACAGTTTTTCAAGGAACACATCTGCTTCCTAAGCCCCCTGGGAAGGCCAGGAGGAAGCACGATGCCTTAGGGGAAGGCAGTAATTGCAGAAATGGGAAGTGGATGAGGAGCGGAGGAGGAGAAATGCTTCACCCCCTGCTTTACCATGTTCTGGCTTTGGCAGTGATGTTCAAGTGAGATGCTGCTGGTGGATGAAAGCCAAGGAATTCAACCTTTAGTCTGTGCGTAAATTGCGCTACGGAACAAAACCCTTTCCCCAATCCGGGTCAGCAGCAATATCACTGTTAACTAGAAATGTCCTGGCATCTTTTCCCCTGGGTTATTATCTCCAGGTGCTTTCTGATGCTAAATCCCTGTTTGTTATGTTTGCCTGTTTTTTTCCTCTGCAGCAGTGTTCCCATAGAGGATGGGGTTGGCATTTGGCTCAATGGGTATGGACTATTATGTAATAGGAGATGTGCCCCCCCAGGCCCTTGCAAGGATGCTGGCAGCAGTGCCAGCAAGGGGAATGGCATGTAGGGACTTTATGCAACAGAGCAAGGGCAATGCTGGAGGGCAAGCGACATGCGCATGGTGGGCAAAACAAGGGGTGCTGATAGCCCAGGGCTGGTTCACCCAAACAGTGCCCTTGGTGTCGGGTGGTTGCATCTGTTTTGATGCATATCTATCATACACATACAGCATATATATAGAATCATAGAATTGTTTGAGTTGGAAGGGACCCTTAAGAGTCATCTAATCCAGCTCCCCTGCAGTAATTATCTACTGTGGGCGTACATATGTGAAGAATACATGCACATGACCTCAGGTTGTCTCACCTTCCCCCCTCTCTGCTATCCATTGCCACCCAGATTGCCTGCCTTGGAATCACTTGCATGGCAATGGACACTCAGCTCACCCAACTGCGTTGCAAGGGAGGGCCCAACCCAGTATGCTTGCTGGCAATGAGCATTTTAAGGATAGAAGAATAAGCTCCCAGCAGTGCTCCTATCACCAAGCCTTTGCTGAGATGGAACCATCCTTTTCACTTTGCTATGTAGCTGGCTAAAAGTTGCATCTGAAAGTTTTCCGGAGAAGTAAAAATAAAGACTTAAAAAAAAAAAAAAAAGGAAAAAGGAGAGGTAATTGCCAAAATAAGAAGTGGAATGGGGAAGAATGTGGAAAATCAAGCATTTAAACGACTGCCAAGGGTGGGCTGCACGGTATGAGTCAGTTGTTTCATCGCAATGCACCCGATGCTGTGTTTGCTCTCGTGACCTCAGTGCACGGTGGTGATGCTCCAGAGCAGAGCAGAGGGCTCACTGCAAATGGAGTGAGGGCTGAGTTTGACAGATAGCAGGTGCTGTGCTGCCCAGGGCTTTGCTTTTGCAAAATGTGTTGAAGGAAGGTCACAGTGTGTTTTGCATGCTGGTGTTATACACATAAGGCTGCACTGTACATGTGTGCCTGCATCGCACACACGGGGCTGCATTGCATGCACCAGGCTGCATTGCACATGCAGAAAATGTTTTGGCTTTGCATCTTGTCCTGGGGCACTTTGGGTGGCCATCCAGATGGAGTTCCCCATGAGGAAATCAGTCAACACCTTGCAAGCCAAAGCCTTAAAATCTTGAGTGCCTTCATCTGGAGCACATGGTGGGATCATGGGTTGTACACAGGGCCAAAGCAGCATTCCCTCAGCTGGGCTGTGGTACTGGGTCTCTTTTGCAGCCCCGCTGATCCTGGCCTCTGCTCCAGTGTAGGCACTGGTCCCCTCCACTTCAGACCCTTGCCTTGGCCCTGTGTATGAAAGCCCAGAGAAAACCATTTAGTTTGGGACCATTATGCATTTTGGAAGTCGCTTTTCCCAAGAACATTTGCTTTGCCCCCAAAATCCAAATTTACCCATTGATTTTCTTTCAAGAGGGGAAGGAACAAAATGAAGCTGATCTGAGCCAGCCTTCTGGAGTGTTTTCTCTGTACTTAAATACTGACATGAGATGTGCTGCATTGTTGCTGTACTGGACACTGGTTTTTGCATCCTTCTGCAGGAAGAAACAGGAGAGGAACCCTTATTAAAAGATTAAGTTTAATAGCTATTCTTGGCGTGCCGTCACAGGCCTGTATTCTTTCTGCAGCTGTCTACGAGCTGTCCCATCTGGTAAAATTTAGCCGTGTTGGTTCGCTTCACCTGCCCAAGCGTCAACACGGCAGAGGGAGGTTGGCAGCCTCAGTGCCGCGCTGCTTCTTTCTAATAAAACTCTCTTGCCAGGATCAACATCGCAGACATTTGTGGTAATCGGTGCGGCGTCTGCATCCGGACTGCTGTCCGCGCTGGGCTTGCTAAGGAGCAATAGGAAGGGAATAAATTACAGCAATAGAAAGTGCCTTCAATTAGTGTTGTGCGCACACCGGGAGCCCTGTCAGCATTGAGAGTGTTTGTCTAGGAAGGCCATCATGGGAAACTCAGGCTTTTTGTGGGCATATGTCAAAGAAGATGAGTGTTTTGGGAGAAGTGCTGCTGGTTTTGAAATACAGTGATCATGAGGCTGTGGAGGTGCCAGCCTGGGACCCTGCAGTCTGTGGTCACTGCAGGAGAGATGCCGTCAAGGCAACAGGCAACAGGTGAAAGGTGACGAAGCTATGGTCTACATTGATGGCTAACGCTCAGGCCTTTACCCCTACAGGTAGACCAGTGGGACGAAATAACAGGAGGATCAACCGTGGTATCGTGGAGGAATGCTGCTTTCGGAGCTGCGACCTGGCTCTGCTGGAAACCTACTGTGCCAAGTCCGTCAAGTCAGAGCGTGACCTCTCCGCCACCTCCCTTGCGGGCCTCCCAGCCCTCAACAAGGTAAGGCTGCACTCGGGCTGCTAGCTCCCTGAAGCAAGTAAGAGGAGAAAAGGGAGGCCATCAGTAGGGGAGGACTGCTGCTGGCTCTACGATCTGCTGCTTCTGCAGCCAAGGCAGCATGCAGAGGCTTGAAGTGTTTATAGCTGTTGAGGAGTCAAAGAAATTGCAGAAAACAAACTTCTAACCATTGACTCATAGAACGGTTTGGGTTGGAAGAGCCCCCTAGTGATTATCTAGTCCATCCCTGCCACGGGCAGGGACACATCCCACTCTCAGATCAGATTGCCCAAAGGCCCATCCAGTCTGATCTCGAGTGCCTTCAGAGTGGGCACCCACAGCTCTTCTGGACAGCCTTTCCCAGCATCTTGCCACCTTGTTGTGGAAAACTTCCTCCTTATATGCAGTTTCCTACAGCTTAAAATCATTGCCCCTTGGCATATCCCGACAGGTCCCGATAAAAAGTTTCTCTCCAGCTGCAGCAAGGTCTCCCTGGGACCTTTTCCAGGCTCAACAACCCCACCTTTCCTCATGGGAGAGGTGTTCCAGCTTGCTAATAATTCTTGTGGCCCTCCTCTGTCCACATCCTCCTTGTGCTGGGGACCCAATAGAACCTGTAACACGGGCGACCATGGGTAGAGGTTACCTCAGGGAAGGTAACCCACCTTGTGTTGACACTGCGTTGTTCTCCCTTCCCCAGGAGAGCTTCCAGAAGCCATCTCACGCCAAGTACTCCAAGTACAACGTGTGGCAGAAGAAGAGCTCGCAGCGGCTGCAGCGGGAGGTGCCTGGCATCCTGCGTGCCCGCCGGTACCGGTGGCAGGCAGAGGGGCTGCAAGCAGCTGAGGAAGCCAGGGCGATGCATCGTCCCCTCATCTCCTTGCCCAGCCAGCGGCCTCCGGCACCGCGGGCATCCCCTGAAGCGACCGGCCCCCAGGAATGAACTGTGACCGGCCGGCTGGATTTGCGATCTCCCGGGGAGAGACTGGCGAGACTCGGCCCCCCCTGAGCCCCTCCGTCCCCAAGCCGAGGAGCGGGGCGGCAGGCACCATCACACCGCTCCGGCCCCAACCAAACAACTGACACAAGCAAGGAGGGGATGGCAGCGGCCGTGTGCAGCGTCCTCCTTTTGGGGTGGGGGGGAGGGTTGTTTCGTTTCCCAGGCCTGTTTCGTTTCCCTCGCGCACCCAGTATTTTTCAAGCCTTGTACTTACGAAGGGACAGTTGGGCACTTGAACTTTTTGCTGCCGGGCGCTGTGTGACATCCCCAGTGCCAACACTAGAAGACAAAAGAACGAGCAAGAGGGAAAAAGGATATGAAGTTAACTTTTCTTTTAAATTTTATTTTATTTTTCTCAAGAAGAAAAGTCCATTCCATGTCTTTCTTGACAATAAAGTGAAAAGCAAAAACAAATGGGGAGAGATGTTGAGGGATGTAACTTTTTTGCCTCATTCCCATCCAACTTTTTTTTTTTTTCTTTCTTTTTTTGTTGGTAACTTTTCTTATTTTTATAACTTTTTTTTGCACCTTTAAAAAGAAAATGTAACTGAGACGAAGTTCCGAGGAGTCCCATCTGCATTTTTTGTGTGTGTGCTTAATTACAAGATTCCAAATCGACTTGCACCTTTTTGAAACCATCGCTGACGGGAGAAAGAGAGGAAGAGGAGAGAGAGAGAGAAAGAGAGAGAAGAAAAAGGAAAGGGGAAAAAAAAAAAAAAAAGTGAGCTGATGCTCACTTTAAATGGAGGAGGCGTCTGCATTGCACATTTGCCACGGATTTAGTTGATTTATATATATAATATATTATATAACTTTTTTGGCAAAAAAGCACTATTTTTATGGGACATTTTGTGTAGTATCTGAAGAGGGATTGTAATGTTTAAAATGTGTTATGGTGCTAAAGTAAGTTGGAAGGGAAAAAACCCAGAAATAGCAAGGGAGGGTGGGGAGGGAAGAACAAGATAGCGAATACTGAACTTGAAATTTTAGCTTTTCGTTTTAGGAAAAGTGTGATAAATGTGTTTCTTTTCTCTTCTGAAATATAGCTTGGTCATGACCATATGAGCTAGTTGGCTGTCACTCATGTACACAGATGCACGCACACACAGAAATACATCTACACGCGTTCTTTTTTTTTTCTTTTTTTTTTTTTTAAGAAAAAAACAACGATTTAGACTAAAAGGGAAGTGTTCTAGATACAAACTATTCTGAATGGTGAAGGTATTGCCGGTTACAACTCCAGGCCCTGCTTCTGTGTGGATCCTGGTGAAGATCAGCTTCTCCATCCTCTCAACCCTGACGGCTTGCTTGCTGTGCAGAAATGCCAGCCCCGTGTCCCTCTGTCTCCTTTTCCTTCTCTTGGCCCTTGCGTTCTTCTTGCAGAACCCCCTGCCCTCCTCCCCTTGCCCCCATGCCCAAGGCTGTGGAAGATGGCCCTTGGGAATGATGGGGACCCTCCCCACATGGGGCAAGCGTCCCCCCCGGCGTAGTGGCCTCCACCAATGCGATGGCCTCAGTCAGCATGGTGACCTTCATCAGCATGGTGGCCTCAACCAATGTGATGGCCGTGGTCAGCATGATGGACGGTCTCCGTCAACACAGTGGCTTCCATCAACATGCTTTCCTCCATCGCTGTGATGGCCTCAGTCAGGATTATGGATGACCTCCATCAGCACGGACAGCCACCATCAACGTGGATGGTCTCCATCAACATGGATGGCTTCTGTCATCGCGGTGGCCTTTGTCAACCTGGTGACCTCCATCAGTGTGGTGGCCTTTTTCTGCCTGATGGCTGGGTTAGGTTCCCAGGCAGGGAAAAGGCAAGTCTCTCACTTGAGACTCGGGACTCAATGAGCAGATGGGTTGGAGAGGTGGGCAGAGGGCTGTAAAATAGGTTGGTTTTTAAAATAATATATATTATCTGTCTAGGAACCATAAAAAGGGGGGAATCAATTACATCTCCCTATGATATACTCTCACTTGCTAATAAAACGGGGACACTCTGTTAACCAGTTCTGTACTTGCTTTGTCTTATATATCCATACATTTAAAACAAACAAAAAAAAAGACTACTTGAATTGTATTCTATTTCGTGGTTTTGAGGGGAGGGCTAGGGGAGTCTCAAGAGAGGGAGGATTTTAATGTATAATCATTTTGTTTGTTATTACCTTGCAATGTTGAGCCATGAAGCCTTTGTTTAAAAAAGAAATGGCACTGCAATACACAACAAAGAAAATCCTTTATTTATTTTATTAAATATATATGGAAAAGAATGAAAATTGGTCCAAATTAAAGGGGGGGAGAGGGGAAAGGGAAGAGGGTGGGGTGGGAAGGCAGAACAAAAACAGCAATTGAAAATAATTGATTTTTTTTTTTTTCTTCCTTTCCATGTGTCTTTTTTTAAAAGAAACCTAGTTTTTATTTTTTAAAAAGAGAAGTAAAAGCTTTCCTGGATGCTTTGTACCAAAAAAAAGAAAAAAGAAAAAAAAAAAAAAAAGAAAAAAAAAAAAAGAAAACCTGTTAAGCAAATAAATATCCATCCAGAATACAAAAGCCTGACTTTTTCTTCTAGTTTTGGTTTATTTTTATTCTTGGGGTTGGAGCTGGGTGGGAGAAGGCCACACCAAACAAGAGACCTTAATCTCAAGTCCTTTCCAATTCACTGCAGGTCTTATTGCAGGTAGAAAGTTTGGGTCTGTTCCTGTCCCCATCCCACCACCTCTCATTGACCTTTGTAGTTTTGTTTGCAGGAACGGGTGTCCTTTTGTGGGCTGAGGACTGATTTAATTGTAGCTTTTGGTAGTTGCTGCTGGAAGTTTTGTTTGGCATGTTTGTTACCTTTCTGCTTTTTTTCTTTTTTTTCCCCTCCTGCATAAATCGATAAATCGTGGTCGTGGGGGACATTCAGAGATGACTTAAAAACAGGTGAAACTTCAGCCACATCTCTTGCCTGCTTCCACAGCAAGCAAACAACTGGGGCTGGGAGCTCAATAAGGATGCCAATGCCATTTCCAAACACTGTGTTGATGCTGCTGGAAGTGTCCTCAGATTTGGGCAAAGCACAAAAAAATCCCCTCTTTTATGCAAAATAAAATATATAGGGACTTTGGCACTTGCAATGCACTGAACTCTCTTACTTCCTGGGATACCAACAACCTTGACAACTTTGCATCCTGGTGCTTGTGGTGCTTGCGTCACTGGAACAAATACACAGAAACAGGTTGAGGTCTGGCTAGTGAGGCCAGGGATACTGGCAAAGAGTGGGAGTACATCTGCCACTGCACATCAGAAAGTGGCTCTTTTCCATCTCAACTGACGTAGGGCCAAAGCAGAGCGATAAATCTGGGGTCATTTTTTGGAAAACTGGGAAATTGTTTAAAATGTGCCCTCTGGCTCAGTGAAGAGCACACTGGCTTGCAAGGGTAGATCCAAGCAGCCCCAAGAAGCTCTGAGCCTGCTCTTGTCCAGTGAGGCCCCTTGAGTGGGTGAGACTGGCTGAGACAGAACCTCTGCTTCTTCTGTGGGTCCTCAAGTTACTTCTGTTGCCTGCAAATCTCCATCACAGGTTAATAGATGAATAGATGAATTCCAAGGCATAGCTTGGAAATCCCTGGGGAGGATTTCCACAGCTTACAGTAGGTTTGGACACCCAAAAACCTCCAGTCTGTCTGATCCAGTGACTTCCTGTGCTCTTCTGATGTATACGGGGACAGAGAAGCAAAGAACTACACCAGCAGAGAAATCTGTCATGGTGTTTGGTGCCCCATGAAAAATCACTCCCTTGGTCTCAGCGCTATTGTTGAGCTCTGCAGAAGGCAAAGGGCAAGAGACTTTTGCACAAAGCATCACCTCAGAGAGCATTTGTCCCATGAGATTCCCATTGGGACAGAGGAAAGGAAGGAGTGTGCAGCCTGCTGCAGGGAGGTGGCCACAGCCTTTGCAAGGTGTGTAAATCACTGTCTTGACTTATTCTGGGTATGGAGAGATTTGGTGGGGGGAAGGAGGGTGGTGAGTGGAGGGGATGGGGGGGGATGCTAACCATATACTTTTTTTCTTTTTCCATTCTTCTATGTTATTTCAGAGATCAGTTTTCATTTATAAATCCAGAAAGCAGCTGGGCTGTTTTCTTAGTGTTCAGTGAGTAGTGCCAATGCCATCAGGATAGACTAAACCTACAGACAGATTCCTTTACTTCCTTGTTCCCTCAAAGCTCCATCCATTTCATCCTTCTGCTCTGAAAAGCTCATTTTTTTTTTTTGGTGATGTACCTAGCTGCACTAAGTGAAGGGAAGAACTGTATTTGTTCTTCTTGCTGATGTTTTTTTTTTTTTTTTAAACTGTTTTTTCGTTGTGTTTTTTTTGTTTATTGTTTTTTTTTTTTTTTTTCCAATATATACTATTGTCCACTGATGTTTTATGTATCTGTGGGGAAGCCTGGGGAAGGTACTGATCACCAATGTCACTTGTCTGCACCCAGCAATAGACAAGATGCACACTTCCCAGGTTGTGCACCTATTGTACTTCCCACTTGTAATACATTATCAATAAAGCAAATCAGCTATAAGAAACTTCCACATCTGGTGTCTTTTCTGTCCCCCCTTTGTTGCTGCACTCTCAGCTGCATGCATCCCAAGGAATGCCTTGCTCATCAAATCATGCCAGCTTTTGCAGAGAGCCCTGCAAGATCCTCTTTCCCTTCCTTCTCCTGGTATCTGCCAACACTGATCTGAAAGCTGAGGTTTCTAACCTGCTAGGCTCTTGCTTGGCAAAGAGTAAGGACACAGAGAAGGGAATCTTTCATTCTTCTAGCAAAATAAAAATGCAAATTATTTCACAGTTTTGAGGAGTACCACAGTGGAATGTTAGAACTGAGAAAAAAAAGGCACAAAGTCAGTGGTCTTGGCTTTGACTTGTCACAGCTTAGTCTAAGAAGCAACCTCTTGACCTCCAGTAATGAAGTGAGGGAAAGAGATTTTCAATGAGACATGGCTGGAAACATCACTGGTGTCTTAAGACACAGAAACATGAACTGTGAGCTCATTTTGGATACAAATTTCTTAATTTCATGACAGGAGCACAGGGACTGTTGAGGTTACCCTTCCAGAATACGTCCCCATCATCCTCTCTCCTGAAAAAAATAGTCTGAAATAGGAATTTTTGATACTCGATTATCCTTTCTCAAGCCACAAGGGCACGCTGATAATGGTAATCTTTGTATTCTTCACAGCTGGGTCATAGCCACAAAGGGAGGGAGGCGATTAGGAGAATATTAAGTCTTCATCTTCCAAGACGTTGTTGCTTCTGTTCCTCCTCCCTCTCTCCTCCGTTCCCCATGCTTAGCAAAGAAAGCGGCAGGAGTATTATTTCTCAAGGCCTATAATGACGTCAATACGTGGGGTATTTATTTATGAAATTGAATCTAACAGTGGGGGAGAGAGTAGCGGAGGAAGATGGACGCGCAGAGCCAGCAGCTGCCAAGCTACAACAGAGCTGCAACCTTACAGTGCAACCTTAGAGTATTTTTCTACCCTCTTTCTGTGGGAGTGACACAGTGTCCAGAGCTTCAGACACCCAGGAAAAGCAAAGAGAAGAGAGAGAGACAGAAAAAAAGGCAAACTTGATACTGAGAGCAGAGGAAAGGTGCAGCAAGGGGATGTCCTTAAAGAGGTAAATAGCCTGTTTTTGATGCTGGGATATTCAGATTTAGTCCTCCAGGAAGGGTAGCACTGCAGACACTTGCCTTCAGGAAGGATCTGACAAGTCTTGAGCAGCCCTTTCCTCTAAGCCTGTTCAGTCTTTGTAAAGAAAAATCAGAGAGGATTGAAATTCCAGCCAAGGGACTTCATTTCTCCTTTTGACTCCCCTTTCTCCCTTGCTACTTCAGGCTCAGGCAGCAAAACAGCCATCTAGGAAACCCAGCAATAAAGTCAACATGAAGATTAAGTTGTCCCCTGCAGTCAGTGGCAAGCAGCTTTCCAGGCTAGAATCCGCATCTGTTGATATAATCATGTGCTCAAGCATAAAAGGTGAAAGCCAAAAAGGAAGAGTACTTTATTCTCTACAAACTCAGGAGCAGGGCATCCCTAGGGGTGTGAGCAGCACAGATCATAGAATAAGGTTGGAAAGACCATAAGATCACCTTGTCCAAACATCAACCCATACCAATAAATACCATACGATACATACCTGTAAATGATGACTATCACAATGTGGTGACATTGGCTTCAGTTCTAATGAGCAGTGGCAGAAGACATCTTTGGGTATCTCTCCCTTTGCTTAGGTGAAAGTTTAGCCAATAGGGTACAGGTTTTGGTTTCTCTGGCAGGGTTTGTCTCCAGAAGAGAGGAGGAAGCAGACTGAACATCATCCTCTGTGATAGGCAGTCCCTCATTGGCTTAGAAGTCATGCATGGAATTGTTCCCTCATGGATGGGAACAGAAGAGGACAGCTTTTGCCCTTCCCAGGTAGCATAGAATAGTGCTAGGAAATAGGAAGAGGGAAAAGGAAAACTCACAAATACAAGCATAGACATCGAACAGTACTAAAGGAGCCACAAAATCTCACGGGCTTCCCGGAATTGCCCGACTGACTTCCTACCAATGTGAACAAGAAGGTGATGCCCTGAGAAACTGCCCCCACAAAGTCTTTGCTCACCCCTGCCACTGCTTTTTGTGCCCTCGCAAACAGCACCAAGGTATCATCAGCCAGCTTGGAACTTCTTGTTTATCCAAAATAAGGCAAGACAGACATGCTCTGGAGATCTGTTTACAAGTCAGGCTATCTCCAGTTATATAATGACACAAGCCTCGCTGCCAGCAAATTGTTGCTGTGAGCAGGGGAAGACAATTAGATCGCCTCTCTGGGCAGCGAGCGCGGACAATGCAGGCTTTGTGCCACCCGGCCACCAGCCCCGGCATCTGCGGCATGCCTTCAGAGGAAGAGGTGGCCCGGGGAGGGCTTGGGGTGCCGGAGCCGGGCTGAGAGCACCTTCCTGTCCTGGCAACGAGGGGAGGACGGTAATGGGTCGTCGCGCCGCAGGGCAGAGCGGCTCTGACCCCTCGGCTGCACACGGGATGGGAAGCTTCGGTGTTTGGCTTCCTGTGCTTCCTGGTGTGCTGATGGATTTAGGCACTCGCTGAAGCTCCTGGCACTGCTTGCGGATTCAGTGGAAAAAATGTGGTATCAAGAGATGGGAAATACCAAAGCCTCTCAGAAATGCACTCACTTAAAAGGGAAAGGTGGTTTCCGGGTGAAACTGCATTCCTGTCCTCCATGGATGGAGAAGGGAGGAGGGCTTTGGAAAAGCCAGGAGTGCTGTAATGAAAGCTGTGATGAACGATAGCTGGTCTCTCTCAGAAATGGGCCACAACCTGCTTTTGGTTGGAGCCTGGGTAACCTGATATTGTCAACAGCCATAGATTAGCTCAATGAAATTGTCTGCAGGAGGTTAGGGGAAGAGCGAGTGACTGCTTTCTGCCTGCTGCATAAGGGCACAAATAGCTGCATTTGTGGGGAAGTGTTGGCAAACATCAGTGAACAATCAGCATTGGAAGAGCTGATGGCCCAGGGGTACAGGAAATTTCTGCTGGTGCTCGCTGGGACAAGGCTGCCTGGGCTGGCCACTGTCACTCCATCCTCTGCACAGCTGCCCATTGGCTTCATGACAAAAAGACCATTTAATTAAATATACTGTTACTCGAAATTAGTTGGGCTGCCAGTCTGCTTGCCTGGGAACATGTGCCTCATAGGTTCATGTTCTATTGAGAACACAGTGGCACTTATTGCAAAATCTGTGTGTAAAACCACACTGCTGGCAAACTGATAAATTCTCCAGCTGCAGAGTTCTGTCAGTGTTAGAAAGCATACCTCACCTGCATGCCCATTGGACAGTATATTGAACCAGTCAACCTCCAGTCCACCCACATGACAAGAAAAATTCACCTTTTGTAATGGCAACCACATACCTGTCTAAGGCACAGTACTCCTCTCAGCCCAGCAGAAATAGTTCCTTCTGGAAATGAGTCATTTTTCTTTATCTTTCAAACCACTTCAAGCAATTTGTCTTGCAGACTTTCTGACTACATTTACATAAAATGCATCCTTCCTTTCTTTCTATTCCTGGTTGCATGCACAAGGTTATTTTGGATGGCGTGCTAGGAGGTCACAGTGACACACAGCCAGAAGTGAGCACGCCATGCTTCCAACGGGTACTCAGCAAGACTTAGGCAGCTGGCAAGTTCCTGGTTTCTCTGGGCACTTACAAGGGGCTTACATGCCAACGCAATGAGAAAAAAGGGATAAGGTACTGGCTGCAGCCAAAGCCTTCACAAGTTTGCCTACAAAAAGCAGGTTGTAGACATGAATAACCTCACAAGACCCTGGAAATGAAGCTCAGAGTATGGGTTAGTAGCAAAGTTAGGGAGGTGCAAGGGAAGATGGGAAAGTGAAGAGGCTTCCAGGAATGGCTTGTGCGAGTACGGCATGGTTAGGAACAGTTCCTCCCTGAGACTGGAGTGCAGGCTATTATTTATATCCCCATAACTCTGTCAAAGCGTGATGCTTGCAGCGTTAGAGCTGGAACTCGGGCTCTAAGCAAGCTGGAGGCTTTCATTCATGACTACAGGATGCAACAAGACACACTGGAGTCTGAGGGTAAGGCCATAGACAAAAATAGCACAAGTCCTTCACAAGATCTGCCCAGCAGCTCAGTTTCTTACCAAGTAGAACAGGTATCTTCAAGGTACAGAAGAAATGACTGGGAGGTACATGAGAGAGGCCTCTGGGCTTGTGAGGTATGGAGCAGGATCAAACAGGTTGTGCTGATTCTTCCTGTGCAAAAATGGGCAGCATTATTAAAGCTAGAAGGACTCAAGCTAAAAATCCAACAAAGGGAGATAGCCCTTAGTACAACAGGTAGAAGAGCTGTGGGTCTCTTACCAAGGGATGTGGTGGATATGAGACACGTATACAGATTCAAGAAGAGTGCATTGCAAAGAAACATACTGAGAGTTACTAAAAACACAGAAACCATATCTGGCTCAGGAAGTTCCTGAGCTGAAAATAGTTGGAGGCTGGGGAAGCAGTGAGGGGAAGTACTGTACACATTTGCTGTTGTTCTTACTCCTCCCTAGGCTTTGACTTGTGAGCTCTGTTGGGGGCTTGATGTTAGGTTAGATAATGCCAAGGTTTGTACCAGTTTGAAGGCCATGGAACACAATGTCAATCTTGGCTGGACTGTCCTACCACACCCACTGTACAGCCCAGATTTGCCACCTTCTGTCTTTCATCTGTTTGGGCTGATGAATGATGGACTGTGTGGGCAACACTTTCCTATCAACATTGCCATCATAGCAGCTATAAAACAGTGGGACACCTCCACTGGTGTAGATTTTTACAAGCACGCAGATTATTGTCCATCACAGGCAAAAATGCATAGCTAATGGTGGTGACTATGCTGAAAACTAGCATGCTGTAGTGCTGAGAATTTGCTCTATCAAACACTGTTACTGTGCTCTTTGTATCTGTGGTAGTTCCCACGGAAATAAATAGGAGGCAACGCTTTCAGAGAGATCTATGCACATAATTCCCAAGTAGTCCATTACTTTACTTACTTGATATCATCAAGTGTTTGGCAATAATATTGGTTCTGTACATCGCTACTTCTCTTGCATTCTTGTCCTACTTTTTCCCACTCCAGCAGACCATGCTGAAACTGTTGCAAACCCAGATGGCAGCATTAAATTATAATTCTACTCTGGTCACTAGTTTGCCCATTTAGTTTCTGAGTACTTACGGGCACCTGGGCAAGAAAATACTGAAGCAGCTAATACAGCACATCTCAGATGAACTGCTTCAGCTTCTGTAATGCAATAGAAAGTACAGCAGTGACAGCAAAGCAGCAAAGTCCTAGGCTGCAGCAAGTGAGGACTTGGTCTAACACAACAACTATAGGCACATAAACAAAGAAATGAAGCTGCTTACCTTCGGAACCCTTCAAGGAGGCACTGCCAACCCTTAAGCAAAGTCTGGGAAGGAGCTGATCCTAGCTCTCCTAGCTCCACTCCTTCCAGTCACTCAGGTGGATTGCATACACATGAGTTCCCCTGGGTTGGTACTGCCTTCCCACCAGGTGCTCAATCACTGGTTCAGGCTATGACTTAGCATTTCCACTACAGCTTCCCAGCAAACTCAAGCACACAGGACTTTATTCATTCCACCTGGGATCTGTTTTAAAAGGTTTATTTGTAGTTTCAACAGTTTGAGCCATTCTCAGCTCTCTCTTCCCTGGAAAACAGCATTTAATGATGAGTCTACAAATAACAGCTGAGTGGCCTTGTTAGCCTTCTCTTCATATCCTTCCAGCTGGTCCTTTGAGGCCTCCTGTCCTGGGTTTCCTACTCTGGCTCTGAGAAACTGGTGAGAATCAGGACCTATCAGGACGCTAGGGCCCCCTGAGAGATAATTTGGCAAAAAATCCCACATTATTTGTAGCTCTCTCCAAGCAGTCAGAGAGCAAAGCAGGCATGGCTACACCAGGAGCTACCTTATGAGAATCCATCAGTTGAAAACTTGGGGTACTTCATAACAAGCCATCTGTTATGGAACAAAACATCCAGCTTGGCCAATGCTCATAACCCTCTGGGGTTGGCAGTCTCTGATTATCAGCATGTTTACAGTACCAGAGGCATTACTTGATGCAGAATGATTGCTCTCACTTTGCTATCCCTTTTGTCACATCAACTGGAGATCCCACTGAGGAAGATACAAAATTAGCCAAGCGCCACCCGGAGACATATCAAAGTGGACTGTGTCGCGTCGGGTGGAGTGGGATTTTTGCCTCCAGTGACATTCACATTATTCACACTCTTTTTACATTTTGCTGCTGCTCACATAATCACAGAAGCTATTCTTAGCCACAGGGAGCTTAATCTTAAAAAAAAGAAAAGAAAAAGAAAAAACAACGCACACACACACAAAAAAAAAAAAAAGCCAAAACACCTCTGTGAACCATTTCTAAAACAATAACTTGTGGCAGGGAGGGAAAAGGGTTGGCCTAAACATGTATCCCTCTTCACCAAATAAGGACCCTTGTAAATGTGACTCCAAGTGCTACAAGGCTTAGGAAATACTGGGAGGGCTTTGGAGTGCAAGAGTGAATCAGCATGGCCATCACGTCACACCCTCATGAATAATACCTCTTACTTCCCTTGAATTGTGCATTGTGATAAAGACCTAGCTGCCTTTTTTGGTATTCCAGTGTCTGCCCAAGAAGAGTCAGATATGAAATTAGGTTTCCTGTACCTTAATAGATTAATTTAGTTTGAACTAAAAACGAGGGCACATATACTGTCGGGAGCCAAGAAGCCTCAAAAGACATACGTCTCCTTTCTTTCCCCCTTCTTTTGTGCTTTGCTGTTTAAATGATTTTCTCCAAATTTTATTACTGTAACAACTTCATTTGGGAAGATAAGGCATGCTAAGTGGAGGACATCTAATAATTTTGCATTTCAGCAAGGCCAGACCCTGCAAAGTAAAGCGCATCAGCTTCACTGATGTTTAACACTACAAGCAACCCTGCTGGTTTTGCTCCATATAATGCAGCAAGCGCATGCCAAACCAAAGGTGATATCCACATTGCCATCTGCTTTTGTTCTTAGGACCCCATGGCGGTGCTTCTGTGGCACTAGAGAAGTACTAACTCCTTTTGTTGCTCTTGAAGTTTTCTGTTTTAAGAACTGTGCTTGTCCAGAATTCACTAGTTCTACTGAATGTCTTCTGACCATGGGAAGGAGAACACCCTGCTATTATTATTTCAGTGCACCTCATGGCAGAAAAGAGGTAAATTGCATCATCTTATTTAGTGCTGGATATTACAGCAGAGATCATGGGTGACAACAAACAGAGCCAAGGAGAGAACAGTGCTTCCAGTGGAAATGCACACACATTGCAAATTCCTCGTATGGCAATGTTTCCTTTTCCATCAGAGACCCATAACACGTTTCCCTCTCACACAGAGGACACAGACAGGAATTTCCATGGTGACTGTCAAGACAGCATCCTTATCTAAGAGGAACTTAAGATAAAACTTTCTGTGGAAAAAGTCTGTGACCTGGTGAAGGTTGCTAAGTGTTTGAGACAGCCCTGCCTGAACTTTCTGAAACTTCCAAGCCCTGTGTTGTTATAAGAAGCCTTTGCATTTTTACCACTAGATTAGCACTGCCTCTTTAGTGCTACAGATATAGGGCTGGCAGGAGACTGCTGTGCGCAGCTGAAAATGAAAATGTATTGCTGCTCATTTAATTCAGAGGATGTCAACACGAGATTTTAGAACAGGACATAAAGAGAAAAAAACGAGGAAGAAAGGTAATAGGGACACTGAGGACAGAGAAAAGGGGCTGTGTCAAAATCTTTCTCAGATCCGGATGTCTTATCGTCTTCCTATCTTAAAAACCATCAGTTCTAGAAAATTGTGTCAGAGTTGGTGTAAAACTTTGATTCATGGAGTTTCCACATCTTGAAGGGAACAGAAATCAATATTTGTGACATTCTGATGACTTCAAGGCTTGTCACCAATTTTTCTACCATCTCCTTCTTCACCTGCAAATCCCTACCACATTTAGTAGCTCAGTGGTATGTTTGGCAGCTGACAGAAGGATATTTTCTTGCTAAGCAGAATCCTGAAATCCTACAAATTTAACACAAAGCTTGTTTATCTCGCCAGCTCTGTATCTGGGAGGTGGCACTAGCTAATTCATCAGGCCTCATGGCACAGGTTTATCATAGAATCACAGGACCATTTTGAACTGGAAGGGACCCTTAAAGGCCATCTGGTCCAATTCCTCTGCAACGGGAATTGCAGGGAACACATTCACTAGATCAGGTGCTTAGATCCCCATGCTGCCTGACCTTGGATGTCTCCAGGGATGGGGCATTTACCACCTCTCTGGGAAACCTGTTCCAGTGCCTTACCAGTACCTTTTGTTGTTGGTTATAGTCTTTTACGACTGGAAACTGCAGTCATAAAAAGCTTCCAATAAGCTGCACATGTTATGATCAGCAGCAACAATCACCTAGCGCCATAGGTAAGGGCTATGCAAGCAAATGGCAAGGCACTCACTGAGGAAGCATCTGGAATCTTCTCAGGGCCATGTCATACATTTATGTCATGACACTTTCTCCTCAGAGACGGTAAACTCAAAATTGTGGTTTGCAGTAAAACGTGATTTTATGCTGCTATGAAATACACCATCACACTGTATCAACTCACAGCTTCGGCCAGTTATCTCAGAAGATAAAAAGTCCCAGCACTTGTGCTGTGTGTGGCTTTGGCTGCCTTGGTTATCTCCCCCGGTTTCTTTGCTGGAGTCCAAGACATTTCTGTGGTCACCCACAGGTTGTGGTGCTAAGACCTTGGGGGAGAAGTCCCTGCACTTCTAGGGTCCCTGCACTTCCAGTACAGTGTGGGGCACAGCAGGACCATCTCCCTGGTGCTACTGGAAGGAGCTGGGCTTCCAGCCCTCTTGTCCTCTTTCCTTCTTAAAGAGGAATTTCAAGGAACTGTGACAGGAACACCCTGGAATTTCCTAGTGATTGCTGATAGCAGATGAAAGCCACTGAAGAACAGCATCAATGATTATGATGATTAATGTTTCTTTCCATATGAATACTACTGAAGGAGGAGTGCTTGTGTGCCTTGAGAGAGCAACATTCCTCTGTCTCGCTCATCTGCCCATCTCACAGACCTTTCCTTTTCTTTTTTTTTTAAATCCAAAAATGGCTCATAAGAAAATAAGTCCTCCTGGCCTCACAGCTTGTGTCACTATTCTAAA